CTCGGTTCTGCCATGATGTTTGTATGGCGCTGTATTTATGAGGAAAAAGGGTAATTGTTTTGGATGTTTGTATATTTTATTTTTCTTTTTTGGATTGTTTGATATTGATTATGTGATTTTTGTTATTTATTTGTTGCTATTTAAAACTTAAGTTTTGTTAAACTTTATTTTTTTAATCTTATTTTTAGATGTTGGCTATGATATGTGTATAGAATGGTAACAACTTCTGTAATTACAGGATATTGGTGAAGATTCAATACGCGATAAGTAATTTTTTATCGTGTTTGTATCATAGTAAAGTTGAAGTTCCTATGTTGTGAGGACTATGACGTAAATTGGCAATTTTGATGGCAGTTTTTCTTGTTTTGTGGTTTTAAGGTTTATTTCGGCACTTATGTAGTTATATGGTGACGTGTACCCGTTACGTATCGCCGCCAATGTTCACATCTAACTGTCTGTTTCCACTGACATACTTGTATAAACATATTGTCATCTCGCTCACTCTAGTAAAATAGAGGTGACAATATTTTTGTAACGGTACATCTGCAGTGGAAATTGGTAGTAATTTAGTGTTAATTCATATAATTTAAGCCATTTCATTTCAATATATTACAGTGTCAATTTATTTTAATGTAGAAAAACAAATACACGCCTATAAAATTTATGATTTTTTTATACTTGATGTAATAACTAGCACTAGTGTGCAAATTGTTAGAATTTTAAATTTTATTTCAGAGGCGTGTTTAAAATTTTAACAATCGATATACTGGGAATACTAAATTGGTGCACTAAAATGTTGCATTAATATTTTCAATATTATTTCCATAATCATTTCTGTTTTCAGCCTATTGGTTTCAGTACATTGCTGTGGTTTTGTTATAAAACGAATTTCAAAGTGAAAATATCATTATTAATGTTATTATCACGAATACCACACTTGTGCCTTGGCTTAAATATATAGTTATATATAGTAATACATAAAGTATCAAGAATTTTTAAAAATGTACAGTAATACAAATATCGAGTATCGGTATATCCGTATTGGTTGTGTTAATGTAATTATAAACACTTAAATAACTAGTGTTCAAGGTTACACTAACTTTTTATTTAAGCAACTAAGGTTACAAACCAATGAATAATACGTGATTCAAAGGTGGGTTTCCACTGTTGAGAACCTCGTACAAAAACATATTGATGTTTTTTTGTTCTCAGAGTATGGTGTAGATGATTCTGTATGAGTCTTTCACCAGTGGAAACCCACGGTTACACTTAATATCTCACATTGGAATGGACGTGAGATTATCACCAATAATGTTTATGAAAATAAAATAAATACAGACTAAATAGAAACCATAAAGTAATGTTGAATTAAAACTGGCAACATTTAATTTTTTTTAAATTATCTGAATGTTTCTAAATCGAAACATGTTTAGATATTAATATCGATTTAAAAAAAATAGATGTTATTGGTTTTGCTCCAACATTCTAATTTAGTTAATAATGTAAATATATGGCCTTTGTATTTTACAGCCTAATTTATTGAATTTTGTACCAGGACGATATTTGAAAAATTGTAAATAATGTATGCACATGAACTAACAGCACTCGATGTGATATTTGTATTGTTTGTGTGAGCTTTGTTTGTGAAAATTATAATTGAACTTGTGTAAAAATGTATGAAAACCTGCGCCATATTGCGGGAAAATATTGAGCTAATTACTATGACTTTGTAAGTATGAAAGTGATATTATCAAAATGTCGAAAGTGTCCACAGGCCAGATTGTTTATATTCTTGTTATTTGACGACAAAAAAAAAATAAGAATTCGGTAAATAATATTTTATTTAATATCGAAATTAAATTATTTTCGTCTTAACAAAATCCATTTTTACAATTGTTTTAATTTTCACCGATGAAGCTCACATATGACTAAAACATTTACTTATAAAAGACACTTAATGTATGGAAGGATAAAGTCACGGTTTATTATTTTATTTATATGATTTTATTGGTCCGTTTGAAACTGATGTAAGACCCATTTTCCACTAAGCTTCTCTTCATACACTACTGAAAATAGATTTGTGCGGCTATTAGCCAAGTGGAAATAGGGTTTATGAAATAATGGCTCGGTGCTTATTCATGTGGCCTCTACCATCTTCGATCTCAAGAGCTAAAGAATCGTGGTAAATATTATTTAACTATATAAATATAATTAATTTTTGTTTTATATAGTTTTAGTTTTATTGTATTATTTATTTATTTCATAAATATATCTTAATATTAAGCCTTTTAGATACAGGTTTTGTATGAATTGATAGGGAAAGGGAGTGATGTATTCTGATTACATTGCGCTTCCAATTTCTTATACATTTACATTATATACTTGTAGGAGTAAATGACTGGCTCTCAATAATTTATTAACATGTTAATCAGACATAAGCGGCCTAATGCAGCGGAAAATATCTACGATCTGTTAGATTTCATTTCATATACAGTTTTAACTAATTTATTATCATACTTATTCATACGATTTATACGAGTGATATTTACTTAATTGCGTTATGAGTAATTTTATTGTCAAATCGATTACATATTAAACAAATTTAAGAAGAGAGAGGAATTATCTTTATAAATTTCGTTTTAATTTTTAAAAATGATGTCTATTGTTTTATGTACACCCTTTATAATACTAAAATAATAAAAAATATATTACTATTACTGCAGTATAAAGGGTGTTGGATTTGGTAATAAAATTACTCATATATCTTGTGAGAGTTATGAAACATTTTATGTACGTTTTCTTCATTGCGTATAATACCTTGGTATAAGTAAGGTAAAATGTACGCAGTTAATTAGTAGATTTTTTTGCTTTACATTGTTTTGAAATAGTTCCATAGTTTACTTAAAATATTCTCGTTCTTTCTGCGAATATCCTTAGCTATTAAGTTCGTTGTTTTAATTTAAAAAAATGTTTATTTTAACTGCAACACGTTATGTTAAATATATAAGTGTTATGTGCACCTCCATCTTGTTTTGTTTTTACCCTTTTCCCAACTAACGAAACATGATAGAAATGTATGTACTAGCATACATTTCTATCATTTCTTTTCTTTGAATTTACAGTAACATAACACCACATAACTGCAGTATACAGAAAACGCATTGAAAATGTATTTTGTAGAAAAAAGCAAAACTATAATGTTCATAAGATACGCGTTTCTTACCATGATTGAGTTGTTTTAGCTCCCGATATTTCGGCACAGTTGCATGTGCCATGTTCACTGGCTGACTGGGTAAGACACCTGTATATTATTTACGAACATTATGTTTGTAAAAAGACTATCGGAAACATCAATATATTTTTCAAGTGTATATTGACCGGTAATTTAACAAGGTGGGTTGTTAACGTGGGAGTTCGCCCCAAATAAATCGGGTAATAAAACTGTTGCATTATTGTTACATCCTGTTTATTATATTTATGTAACATGTTATGAACAAATCAAACTTGACCAATAAATGTTAATTTATGATACGTTGCTTTTGTTTGTAGCACTGTTTCTGCGTAATTAGTATCTAATACGAGAAGTGAGTATTTTAGAGGGTCGCTAGTGACGGAGGTTGGGACCATTTGGGGGCCCGCTGAGTGTATATTTATGAGGTTGGAGTACGGCTTCTGAATGTCCCAGGACAGGACATCTGCGCATTCTGAATGTCGTAAATATAAATGGTGAGCGTCGAAGCCGAGGAGAAACACTGCCTTGTCTTTTTCACCGATCACTGAAATAAAAACTAGTCAAAAAATGGATCTTATGCTACCAGCTATCTTCAATCTTACTAATATTATAAATGCGAAAGTTTAGATGGATAGATGGGAGTTTATTAGAGTTTGTAGCCTAAACTGCTGAACAGATATCAATGAATTTTGGCATAGACGTAGATGATAGTCTAGAAGAACACGTCTGCTGCTTGCTTTATTTTCTTTTTTAATTGCACACAAACTGAGTCGCTGGCGCAAGCTAGTGCTATCATATTGCTTACTTGTTTCTTACATATTTGTTTCCGGAAAGTATAGTTTTGTATTTATACAGTAGTTCCGAAAGTTTTGTTTTAGTACAGATGTCACGTCCGTAACCTGAGTTAATAGATACTAAACTGTTTAATATTCTTGTGTTTACGGAGATCTAATAGATAGAAGTAATAAAAATGTATTTTAATGTGTCTGTAAAAAAAACATGTAATTTGTAAAACGGCTAAAGAATAAGTAAGCATAGAAAATTAACGTGTTGTCATACTATTGCATATTATTATTATTATATTTTGCAAATGTTTTTTATTTGCATTAAGATATAAATCATATTTGCAATTAATAACAGACAAAACTAGATACGATTACATCAAACACGATTCTAGTAAGGTTTTACGACTGTCAGGTTTTATTGCACAAACTTACTGCTTGAGACACGAACGACATGCATCCATTTATCAAAAGCGAAATTCGTTTACTACCATTTCGAAATAGAGAAGAAAAGGATTCTAATCACAATTCTTGACGACGTAACAATATTAAATTATTAAAAGCTCTTCACGAGGTCGGCAAATAACTTCTTGGCTATTTATTGGATTCTCTGCCTGGCGTTATATATAGACGTTGGCTGTCAACTGAAAGAAAAAAATAAATAAGACAAAGTTTACCAGTTAAAGGTGAATTGCAAATTTTTCTCTTCAACGTCGCGGTATCGAGTTCCATTACACCCTTATGATTTATTCTGACAAGCATCAGAGAGTTGTGCAGAGGTCCTCTCTTTACCAGGGCCAGTTGTATTCCGATAGCAGGAGCACAGACCAGCACCGACCAGCCATCATTACTTGACACGTCATGGACGATGATGGCACCACGCGATGCATCCGAAATGTAACTACAGAAACACAATATCAACATTAAATGGGTATTTGTGAAGTATTGTACAACTATGTAAGATAGAGGATTATATATCATAGGTATATAATTGTTACGTAACGCATAGTGCAGATTTACCTACCCTTACAAAACTACACGAGCTGTGACCCCTTAGTATAGATTTGCTTGGCGGCTATTTATCAACTCTATGTAGCAATAAGTGTAGATTATGTCCTAATAACCGTTAATTATAAATAAACGACCGTTTTATTGATTTCAACGTATCATGTGTTAGTAATATAAGTAATAAACGGTAAGCAATATGTATCTGTTTGTAAGGAGATAAAAATTACGATACAACTGTTTCATAATCGGATTTGTTGATTTCTAATCCGATTCTAAAGAGATAGTTAACTTATTTAAATTCGTTCAATGTGAGAAACTTTTTCTGCGCCAAGTTTACGTGAAATATCATGTTTATGTACAAGTTACGTATACAGGACGCAGTAAGTGTTGTAATGTTATGAATTATTTAAATAGATTTTTAAATACGTCTTTAAAATTATTATCATTGAAGTGTAAAGATAAGAAAGATATACAAATGGAGAAAAAGAACTTAGCTCATTCTTTATAAATGACCGGCTAAAAGAACAAAATGGTGCTAAAACGTTGGTCCTTATATTTAATTATATCTTTTGAAGATAAATATATCGCAATACCTTTTAGCTGCTTTTTAAATTTGTAAACGAAATCTAAAGTTTAACTACTTACATGAATGTACCAGTAATAGCATATTCTACGACAATGTTCTGCAGCTGTGACATGGGCTCTGCTGTCGAAGTCAACTTAATTGTCTTCGTCACCTTCTTGAGGACGATATTGACGACCACCACTTTAGGAGGGCAAGTGCATCTCGGGTTATCTATGGTGTCTACAATGCCGCTGTCCAGGACCCAAAGGTTGCCCTTAAAATGTAAATGAAATAAAAATATTTTTAAATAACGTCATCTTATTAAATGAATGGGGAAAAATCATATTTTCGTAACCTTAGACTTTCATCAGTGCCTTTAAAATCATTATTTTTAGTGTTCGTGGGTAATTTGTTATACCCAATTCTTGTTACCGTAGGTTTTTATTGATGAAACACAAAGTTATTGCTTTCTCAGTTTTGTCAAAAATAATGAAAGGGATGGCAACATGTGTATATATTTACGTGTACGCGAAAAATATATAATAATTTTGTTACCTCGATCTCGTCTACGCAATTTTCACTCAAGCGGAAGGCTATGACATAAGATATTTGCGCCTATTTGTCACACTTGTCATGGGTAAGTAATTATTGTAAAGTATTAAATATCAAATTACAATGTGTGTACAAGTATCTAACACTGATGGAAAGTTTAAACCTAGTATTTACAACCTTAAACCTACAAAAGTACATTAATATTTAGTACAGTAATAATTACGCAATGAATATCATGTTTCCGCTTCACTAAATCCACCTAATAAATTTAATTATATGACCTATCAATCACAACCTTACTTAACGGGTTTACAACATTGTAATTGTTTTATAAATAATTTAGAATTTGTTACATATCCAGCAATAAAAGATAATAAAACTTCAGAATGCAATGCACTTAAACACAGGGGCAAATTGAAAGCACGATTTCGTCAGTCACAAAGTCTAGATAGACTAAAGATAATTAACTCTACTATTTAGGCTATCACTCTTTGATATCTTTTAGTTGCTTTATTTTAGTTCAGTTGGCATTTTTATTCTGGTTGTTTTATTGTTTTAGCCTTGCGGTGTTTAGAATGTATTTAAGCTATTTTTTAAAACAGGGATAATTTTCAAAATGGATAATATAAAAGTAAGGACTATTTGAACTTAAATTTTGTTTTTGTAATTTCGTGAGATCATATTACTACATCGGTCCAATCGAATATATATAACTAGTCTGTAGTTCCCAATGTAATAAAATGCAGTCAGTTAGTGAGAGGACTGGTGGAAGATGCATGACTTAAAGACTTGATAGGACTAGGAGACAGGGACACATCAGGGGTTTTGACAAAACTAGTGTACGGCTAGAACACTAGTCGATAAAAATCACATGTACGAATTTATTTGAGGTCGCCGCGTACATACAAAGTGGTCATGTGCACCTTTCTTTATATTACCATGTAATTAACTTTCAATGACAATTTTCTCGGAATAAATCGCAATATTTACGTTACTTGTTTTAAGTACTTTTAACGAAATCTATAATGGAGTTTTTATTGCTATTTTTAATTTGTTTAAGTAATTGTTTTTAATTCTTGTTTCCTTGACTTTTGGTAATATTTCTCTGTCAAGCAAATATAAGAGAAAATGACACTTTCCGGTGTCTGTTTGAACTCGGTCTTACAATTTTAATGTATTGTTTTTATTTTAAAAATAATTAAAGAAACATTGCACGCCGTAATCGGGACTTTTTGGTCTTTTTTTTCAGATGCATAGCACTTTTGAATCATGTGAATAATTTGCATAACATTGTAATTGAATTAAATATCTGTGTCATAACGTTGCACAAATGTTTATTTTTATATTGTTATTGTACACTTTAGGTATTTTGTTGCGTAACAAGTTCAACTTGGCTTTTTTCGCAATATCCACTTACACTTATCTTTCTGCGTGCATAAAGTGATACTATATATATGTAAATTATTTTTAAATGTTATGTCTACCGTTTAATTGTTTCCTCTAATATTTTCATTTTTTATTAATAAAAATAAGAAGGCTTTTGAGGTTACTTAATAATTTTAATTTTTAATGAAATCGCACACAACGGGTTTATTACTCATTTTGCATTTTTCATGTGAATTTATTCAATTTGAAAACAAATTAAGGACAAGAAATAGTCTGAATTCTATCAAGATCGGTGTGCAGTACAACAGAGAAACAGTAAATATGCGTTCAAACAATAGCAATATTGCACTTTCAACTACTCTGTCTTCTATTTTGTCCTCGTGTAAAAAACGTTAGTCCACTTAACCATATACCACATTTAAATTGACGGAAAAAACACAGAAACTGATTATTTTAAGCAAATACAAAAACTTAACTTGGTTTGAATTATTGCACGCCACATTAAACTACATTTAAGCTCAATTTGCGGTTCCTAAAATAGCAAAGTTAAGTATGTAACGATTAAGGACCAGTTTATTTACAGAAAGGTCAATAGTGTTTTAAAAGTTATGACATAAAATAACTTATTTTTATAATACTTAACTCCCCGTGCTTTGTTCTATGAAATGAAAAATAGGACCTAGACTCAGGTTCAAACAATTTGAATAAAAAAAATTGTACATATGTTTGAACGGAATCACGCGGTTTGTGATGAATTATGGTTCAATTGACAATCGGGACTTTGTTGCTCAAGACGAAGGTTAGCCTTTGTTTCTAAAACTGGTTCTATTAAATTCGCATCGACTCGCCTCTAGCCCACATTCAAGAACTTATGTACGTAAATTGTGTTGTCATAATCATTTATTTATTCAGAATATGTGTAGTAAAGAAAATTGTAATTAAATCAAAGAAAGGAAAAGGAATTCAAATCATTCCTCGACCCCTTTGAGGGTTGAGTTCATTTTACTCAATTGACTGGTAATGAGAACGGAAACCCAATAACATGGGATATAGTATTTTTGTTACGGTAGTAACAGTGTTTTCTATTTCTTTCTATACTATACGTGTATGTACAGTCAGGCCACCTTGCGGTGTTTCAGTTACAGAAAGATTTCATTGTTTCTAGCAACGAGACAAACGCTTCATTTTAACGTTAAACTAGCTTCTTCAATTAGGAAACAGTGAGTTGTGTAAACAACGTTATTATACTAGCTGTTGCTCCCGACTTTGCCTGTGTGGTTTATAAAAAAGTAAAAATCCGTGTTAGTCATTACTAACATAGCTTTCTAATGGTGTAAGAATTTTTGAAATCGGTGGAGTAGTTTTTGAGTTATTGCAATACATAGAAAAACAAAAAATACTAATCTTTCCTCTTTATAACATTAGTATAGAAAAATTAATTAACATACCACTGGCGTACTTTTTCGAACAGACACATTTCATCATCGTGTCAATGTTCAAACGACTATATTTGGATGGTGAAACACTAACAGTATCCACGATTGTACCTACGTTTCCTGATTACGTAGCACACAGGCTGGATTATTAAAATTAAATTTAAGTCTATAATAAATTATAACACAGTGTGATTGACGTATTAAATATAGACACATGACGTTAAAAATAATTAACCTCCATGTCATTAGAATGCATTTAATAATTGCATTGAGAACTAGTTTTGTTTTAAATATTTGACCTGGATAGACTTAGTTAATCATTTGGCACTAGGCCTTTTGCTTATGTAAAGTACCTTTCACCTTTAATGTTTGTAAATTAAACAATTTAAAAATATTACAAGTGTTGCAGATTACATGAATATTAATAAGTTTTATAAGTTTAGTTTAATAAGTTACAAACTATTATTAATAGGCCTAATGTAAGTACCCTTACTCCTTACCGCCCTTTTCTAATAAGGAGATGATAGGAAGGGGAAGTTGATTTGACAGTGGAGGAGATGCATAGGAAAGGGAAATATACTCTTCATGTGCGTCTCCTCCTCCGTCGGATAAGGGTAGGCAACGCATCTGCAACTGCGGATGTCTATGGGCAGCGGTAGCTTTGCCATTTTGGCGGATTCGGGTGGTCGGTGCTCGTTTGCCACCTTATGTTATAAAAGAAATAGTCCTTGCATTTAATGTTAATAGAACTTAAGAACTTACAATTAAGCAGTTATAGTTAGTAAATATTTTTTCTATTTCTTCTTATTCTAACCATTTAAATCTACTATAAAATACCTATCTTAAAATTAATAGTAGATATATATTTGAAAGTTTAAATGTACTAAACGAAGTGTACTACTTAAAATAAAGGTCATATTAATTATCTAAAAAAATGACAGTATACGTGCATTACTTGTTAACTTCTCATAAATAGTATTTCGATAAAACTAGGCAGATATTGTGGTTTGACATTTGCTAAGGTCCTGTTACGCACCATCCTTTTCATTTATTAACTACGAAATAGGATCTCAATTCACAGGTACGTTTTTCATTCTTAGGTTGGAGGTAATAAAGGTTATAATTGTATAGCAACTCACCAAATGATCAAGGTGGCAGTCAACTGCGTTCTGTATCGCGTCGCAGTCAGCTAGCACGTGGTCAGTGACACTGGGGAAGGCATCTAGTTCAACTCCGTGACGCCCTTTGATCACCTGCCATACCGTTGCTAACACACCTCGCTTCAATCTAGAAAATAAAAAAAGTATCAATAAAATACTGTTTCTCAGGGTTGGACACGCGATTTGCCAAATACCATAACTGCATTGGGAGATTTAAACTTATATTAACTGAGATATGACTATACCTTACCTTGGAGTGATAATGTAAATATTATCGTTGAAAGACACTGCCTTAATGGCGATCACATTATCTTTGATATATTTACCGCCATGGGCCCAAAAGTCTACCCCGTGTTCACACTCGCAATGTAAAGGACCTCCGCTCCATGCTACATTCTTAGGATGTCCTCCCACATTATACACACTACACAAAATCAATAAGAAAATCTGATCATGATAATAAACCATTTCGAAAATAGGTTGTTACACTTGTATGTTTTGTTTGTAATTAATCGAATTGTCCTCTTCGATATGAATCATAAAAAAATTTGCAAGTGATGTTACTGAGAAATGTTATAAAAAGTGCTTGCGTTTTCAACGATTCAATAATTTCAATTGTCTCTGTCTTCTTCAAGGAGATTGAGGGAATGACAATATAGTTGCGACACAGGTGCTACGACACTGGAATCATCGTAACTTTGTTACTTGATTGCATTTACAGTTTTTTATGTTTATACTTTTGTTTCCCTTTTGCTATAAACGACTAATTAGTTTAACAAAGTCATAAAACATGAACAAAAAATTAAATGGTTAAAATCGTTTTACGGTTTTTTCCTTACGATCCTTTTATTACCAAAACACTGTTGTTTTTCTTAATTATAAGTAGAAGAAAAAGAATGAGATAAGATATTTTTGCAGCTACGATAGTATTAACAATAGGTTGATTATTGTTACCAATTCTTAAATATACTTCAGTCAAGTTTCCTATTTCAATCAATCCAATCTCAATCGCAAATCGAGTCTCGTATAGTTTTAATTACTGTTTTCTGTGCCCGCATTCATTACGTGAAGTTACATAATAAATACATATATAGCTAAGGTGAAATGGTAATAAATCAATGAGATGATAATTCCGTTCCGGACTAGTTGGTGCGCAACGCGAGACTTCCTATCCGTGGGTTCGGCTTGGGTTTCCTGCCACACACAGAATAACACAATATCATTCTAATCGACAAAAAGACACAATCGACTGTGCCCTGGGAACCGCATTCGATTTGCTTTGTGGTATTTAGTACGCGACTGTACACATATTACTGAGTACACCTTACACATGTTTTAGTACAGTTAGTACCTGTAGCTGACAGGCAGAAGTGTCGTAATGATATTTTTAATGAAATTTTAAGTTATTATTTGCTAAATTATTATAGCATTTCCGGTTTCTTTGTAGATACGTTTTTTCACTTGAAAAAGGTGAAAAACCAAGGAAAATAGACGTAATTATTGAGGTCGTAAACTAAATCAAAATATGTTAGTTACTACTAAGATTAGAACTTTAGTGTGCAATAAATAAAAATAATTACAATCGGCGCATATTGACAGGTTAACACGCGTGAGGTCTGAAACGAACCTTGAAAAGATATTGATTGCAGCCTCAACTATATTTGGAACATAATATAAATAGTATGGCTACCTTATTATAATTCTATTTGCCTTTTAAATGGTTATCAGGATATTGTTTAACTATATGCTTCTGAAGTGATTTTGCCGTGACAAGGTTACTTTGTATTTAATATACTGGCAAAACATAATTCAGATACAATAAAAGTTGTAACCTTTATTATTTTCACGCTACTAAGTAGTCTTTGTAACTAATATTATAAATTTTATTAACAATTCATGTCAATACGAAAACCGCAAATTACTGTATCCATTGCCGTAGCGGCCGCTTAATGGGTCTAAAAATTACAGCTATCAGATTCGGCAATAGGATCTGATAGGGTGACCATCTGTTTTTGTCATTTTTAAATAACGGCTAGTGTTTATTACGAATTGTGAAATAAGACAATTATAGATATCGAGGCGATGTTAATCCCGATAAAAAATTCTTAGTGTGTTTTTAAAAGAACGAGACAGAACATTGTTAATCTCATCGTAGCTAAATGTAGCCTTCTTATAACACCAGCATAATGGTTAGAAGTAAGTTTGCAAAGTTAGGTTATAGGTCCAAATATCAGGTTTTTCTTAAACCATTCTAGTATGAGCTTGTTTTAAATTTACTCGGAATTAATAATAGAAAAATGTATGAAAGTTGAATAAACAATGTTTTCTTTCAATATGGACACATGAGCGATGAATATCTGTGTTATTTAACCCTATAGTGACTTAAATATTTTTGAACTATGTACTAAACTTCTAAAGTTGTCGATGTATGTTAAAGTCAATAAATAAATTTCCAAAAAAAAATTTACTAGCTGAACAAAATATGTGCACTACATTTGATTTAATAAAGCGCTCAATATATTGCGCTAATTATATACATCCTTCAAGGCTATTGATTTTATTTTAATTCAATGTGACGAAAAATCTAAAAATAGAATTAAGTATGTTTCTATGTAAGCAGCTGCAATAAAATGTGCAAGTTTAATTTTAATTGCTACGAGGTGTTTGTCGAGACCCTGAGATGTCAAATGTAGATATAATCATTTGTTTCGCCGGCGCTTGCATGTGCATGGTGCAGGGTTGGTGCCACGCCTTTAGGATGGACCACTTTTACTTTCAAGCTGGTCGTGTGGAGAGGGGGCGGGTAAATTTGGCGCGCTCGGCCGCTTGTTATTTCAGTAGTGTTTGCGGGCGCCAGACATTCGCGCCTTCTTGTGTTTGTTCGTATACGTGACCCCACACGCCGGAGGACATTCGATAATTTACAGGTATATACTAAATATATAAAATAATACATTGATAACTAAATTTGGGATTTTTAAAACGCTGCTCAAGTCTGGGTGTGCCTTAATAATTTATGGGAATAAAACGCGGTTTGGATGTGTCTTAATGTATGTAATTAAGTTTTTATTATTAAAAAGTTTTGACTTCACGTATGGTTATTTTACCTTAAAAGGTTTTGCTCTTGAAGTAGTTGAAAATTGGTATCATATTGCAAAGTTTTAAGCCAATCTTAAAAGTGAAGGATAAACGAGCACTACAATATTGTTATATATCCTGAAATGTAAAGCAACTTTTACCGTATTTATTTATTTATAAATCATTATCAAAGAACACCAAAATCTTATTCAGGCAAAATAAGAAGGTCATTATTCAGTAAGCTGCATTAAGCTTTTGGCACACAATCAACTTAAAAAGCTAACTCGCTTAGAACTCGGAAGTTAAAGGCTATTCGGATTTGTAAGCTCAAAAATGAAGCTTTGTCATATGAAGGTAATATTTGTTTATGAGATAAAACGATTAAAGTAAACATTTGGATACATGATAAATGTATTTACTTAGTTCTATAAAAATAGCTAGCTGTTCCGATGCGGCTTCATCCGTATGGAATTATGAAAATTTTATTTTATTGTTTACATTTGTCAAATTATCAATAGCAAATGTCAAACTGACATAACATGACAAACCTTGGCAATTATGGTCTCTTTCCTACATTAGGGTTATCATCTAAAATATTTACACCATAAGTTAAATGGAGTGAAAATATACAGCCTAAAGCGTGACGTAAGTGTAGGGTTTTTTATTGAAAAAAAAAATATTCAAAAACATGTTGTAGTTGCTGACATCTTAGGCAACAAAGAAGTGTGTTTACGCTTTATTATAATAGTAATAAATAATGGAACGCTTACAACAAATGTGGGATTAGTCCTATTTACTTAAAGGTGTTATTGGATGTTTTAATTTAAATTGAGCTTATTTCTTGCAAATTAAAGTTAAAAAAAACTGCTCGTAATTACCATGAGAGGATAAATTTAGAAACAATAGCTGCAAACGACTTCCGAAAGGGATGTGGTTTTACGAAACTGACTCACAGCCATGATTTGAAAGTCCGCATTCTTGCTGTACTTAGTATAACACTCGTCAACTTGTCAAGATATTTCCCAACTTGAGCATTGTGACCTTTAAATTACTTAGATATTGTTTATCTAAACGACCTCCGGTCTTATTCACGACATGACTTTATTAAGAATTAAAGGACATTATAGGTTTTGAAGTTATCATTGACTGTTTTGATTAAGAAGTCGTACTACATCGTTTAACTTTGCACTCTTTGTCTTTCTGCTTGACTCCTCAAGTCGATAGTGATAAAGAAAACAATCAACAAACGAGTTGTCTAATGTAGAACTTTTTTTTAATCCCAAACAAGTCTAAACAATGTAAGAGGTCCCATTTGAAAGTAAGTTAAGAAATAGGTTGTCTTGTAATTACTCCACATAAATCGTCTTTAAAATAACATGAATAAAATTCATTTGAAACAAAGTTATCACTTCATTGTTATTTAAAAAGTGAAAAAAAACGATGTATCTAGATAACAAGATGTGGTGAGTTTTCTGGCGTAGCAAATGACGATACCAGTGTAAAGAAAAGTAAAATCCTTGAAGAATCCAACTGTCAAATCAAAGATAATATTCGCCATCGAATAATGCTGCGTAAACAATAGTTCATTGTCTAATAATTTGCCAGTAGTGTATTTACAAACATGAAGGAACAATGGGCGGGTAACAAGGGGAGGAAGTTGTTCTAAAGCTATGAACACATCGCACTTTATAATAGTTATTACGTTATACACTGTTTAGCATTATTAATAACACGCACTGTGATAATAATCGATGTATCAATTACATAATTGTGTACACGTCTTCGAGGACAAATTTATGGATTAAAATTAAATAGAAATCCGGTATTTTTCTTGTTATTGTAGTTTTCTAGTCTTTCGCACTGATATATAAGTGATAGCACTAACATACTTGGTCATATATTTTTCCCCTCGGCACAAAATTATCTCGACATACTTAAATATAGTAAAGTATTCTGTTTATAATATGTGAGAAGTATATCTGCATGAGTAAATTACAGAGTATTTTATAATAAACTAGCTTTCGCGCGCGACTCCGTTCGCGTTGAATTATAAAAAATTGTGTACCCTATGTGTTCTTTCAGACTATCCTCTACGTCTATGCCAAATTTCATCGAGATCCGTTCAGCCTCCTCTCAGCCGTTTAGGCTACAAACTCTAACAAACATTCATCCATCCATCTAAACTTTCGCATTTATAGTATTAGTAAGAAGTAAGATTAAATATTGTCAGTTTTCTTTCAGCTTGTTATTGTCAGAAGGATAAAAATATAAAATGCAATGTTTGACATAGTACACCATAAATAATAATTTTACAAATGTTAAAAGTAAAAGTGTTTAATTTTTAATTTCGCGGTTAGATAAGGTAATTAGTTATAAGGTATTTTAATTATATACTTATGTTGTATTAGGTAATTAAACGAGGTAAATTAATTATTATAATTATTTAAATAAAATTATTAGTCGAATTTCGGAATATTTTGAACAATAAAATGTTATACATGGGCTATAGCATTCATAACAAATTATGCGTAGGAAATGAATCATATAGAAATACTTCCTGTAAACTTTTCAGTTACAAAAGTTTCTTAATTAATGAAAGAAATGGATTGAGTATGACAAAATACCTACAGCGATATATACTATGCATACATTTAACCAATATAATATCACTAACATAAAATTATTCTGTTAAATATAACTCTAAAATGACCCTGTTATTATGAAATCTATGAACTTGAAATTGCAAGAATCATTTCAGATCTAATATATCAGATACTGCATTAAGCTTGTAAACGCCTCTGGTTATTCGGTAATATCGTCCGGTTATTGGATAAATTTTAAATTAATAACCTTTCATTACTTGTCTGCTCATGTCGATCAATACTCGACAGTTTCACACAGACGCAGTACAGTGAGGTAAACAGTAGGACAAAGTAGTATCGCTGATGAGTACAGAGGAGTACTTTTCGACAGTGCACGGTTTACTAAGAAAACCAGTGCTGGAATACATCTGAAGAAATGTTAATCCACTCCAATGAGGCAACACCTTTCCAGATGGAATAAAGCACTTGATTCGATCACTAACTGTAGCTGTACTGCATAGAGAATGCTGTCATAGAGAATCTGACTGTTCTACCTCACTATTCTATCCTCGTGTAAAACCAACATGACGAATGACCTGCGGCGACTAGACTGGATTCAGTTGAATGCATACAATTTGTAAACATATTAAATCATTTTGCTGACCGTAACTTGGGTTGCCGTCTCACCTTAATTGTTACGAGAAGAATGTTTGCTCAGTCTATTATAACACACTATTAGACGATTGACTAAATAAGATGATTTATTGGGTGCCAGTACAGTTTTAAAAACCAATATAACTTTTTGTTTTTTTTTTCAATTTTTTACATAACACAATAACAATAGAAACAATAACTTATACATAGCTTGAAATAAACCTGATAAAAAAATTGATTAAACCTTTAATTTCATAACTAAAGTTTGGTAGAAAGTAGAATGGGAAATGTGAACTTACTACATGTATCATCACCGCACGGTAATACCGACTAATTAGGTTTCGTAATGTAGAAAAGTGAAAAGAGAGTAGAAATTGAAACTTAAAGACTTTTCTCATACTTCTTAGAAATATAAGAGTCGACTAAGTAACAAAGTTAACAATGTAAGTTTACATACCTTGTCACGATTGATCGAATAATAAAAAGAAAATTTTCTCACAACAGCTGGGAACAAGACTAATGCGTTGCCATCATAATTTTCTAGGTATATTCATGTCAGCTTAGTTCTTGTTAGTAAAACTTTTCTATAGTTATTTGATTAGATAAAAGTTCTTACTTATGAAATTTCTTTTTACATTTCATAAATCAACAGAATTATTGAAAGTTTTTGAATACTCTTAGAATTACATGTACTTTCTTATAAGTCGGCCTTTTTTTTTTGTTATTTTTTTATGGAAATACCCTAATTGTCAAAAAAGTACAAACTTTTTTGCATAGGTTACTGAAATTGAACTACTTCAGACTCTGCTGTGTTTTTGTTTTAAATTTCAATTTCGGTATTTCCTCAACTTCTTTTAAGGACAATACTTTTTCTAAACGAAAATCTGTAAGTTTATTAAAAAGTGTGTTACATTGTCGTATTATAAAACGTAGTGACGAGGTACATTTGCGACGTATTGCCAAAGGCAACAAAAAATAAAATCGGTCGAGGGCACACCACAGCTATGTGACTCTAAATACCAACGAATCTCACACTACGCTAAAGTTCCTACAGCAGTTTAACTATACTTTTATTCAATAGCCTAACTAGCCCTATTCCGCGACTTCGTTTAAATATATTTTGGCAGTGGAATTTCGAGGTTAGAAACAAGTTCATGAACCGTATTCAGATCGCTTTGTCGATGATTCACAAAAAGTTTTTTGAGAATTGAAACCAATTTGTTTTGTGATTTTTACTTTATCTTTCTTTCATTTAGTACATCGAGAGTTAAGTATTGTTTATGCGGTCTCTATCAATGAATTGTGTGGCTTCTCACTCCATATATCTTAAAGATTAAAAGACCTTGACACGCACTGGAATGTGTATTAGTTACTACTCATTCTTTTTATTGAAGTCATAACACGTTGTATCGGATAAAGTAATTGTTAAGTTACCTCATGTAACATTGGTGCGAACAAAATGAATGTCACGAGGTTAGTATCGGAACAGTGAAAGTGTTTTCGAGTTTCACCGCAGCGGACAACGGCAGTGCGTGTGTTCCGATCTCATTGTCGATGTGTTTCACGTATTACGCGCTTACTTAAAAACCAGATTCACTTTCGATCTCTACGTTACTGTCCAGGGAAATGTCTAAAACTTGTTACGCGAAAGCGAGTGACGATACAAACGGTACCAAATGATAATAAACTTTGTTGTTCATTAATATGTACGCCACGATATGCTATTTCTACTATTAAAAAGACGCCTAAAAACTTTTTGATTCAACAAACATACTTATGTATGTAATATTTAAGTACGGGTTAAATTGTAATAAATAATTACAGTTGAAAAAAAAATAAACTTTTGATATTTCACTGAAGGTTAAATTTTAATAGTTCCTGAAGACAGTAGTTAAGTTTGTTACTACCTTGAAAAAAACATAAATTAACAGTTCGTTATATGAATAACATTTCACGTCTTAGTAATAATAAAATATGCTTATTAAACTATGTCTAAGTTCACAAAATAAAAACCTATTCAAAAGTTATTTATAAATAAAAATTGATTAATGACCTTTTCATATTTACCTCAAAAACGATTTTGAGTAAAATTTTTTGTAAACTAGTGTAAAAATATTATACAGATTATAAAAAGCGTAGGTGCAATGTTAAAGAATAAATTTAATAGGTTTATAAATAATTACGAAAGTTTATGCGAAGGAATGTTGCTCGTGGTCGGCGGTACCCAACAATGGCTAGTATCCTGCAATCTAAACGTTCTAAAACTAAACACGCTTAATAAATATAATAACATGGTTCGTTGGGTTTTCTGTTTAACTTCTTTACGGTATTTATACATAGTCAATATCAGTATAGCCGTTTGTTTAATCGTTACTTAAAGAAGGTAATTGCGGCTGTTTAAAATTATTTTATTAAAATAAACTCCCAAACGGTGACTATTACACATTTAAGCCGTGAAAAAGACTACGAATTTTAAGTACATAGAATAATTTATTGTTATTTTTAAATGATTATGTGTCACAGAAAACTGTTCGTAATAAATGACTACCAATACCATTAACATTTGAATATGTCATTGTTTGGCGATTGCCGACAAAGTACCATAGAGATAAAAATCTATATGTGAAACAATACTAATCTATGGCTGTCTAAACATGTGAGAATACCATACGTTTTGTTAACACAACTTGTAACTATTATGATTGATCTACTATTCTTTATTTATTTATGCACAATGATTTTCTACTACAAAGTTAACGCCAGTTTTATATGATACCTAAAGGTTTAGTCTTATTACTGTTTAAAAGTTCCAATACAGATGGCGCTCGTAGTACGAGATTTTAATATCTTACAGAATTTAATTTATAAATTAAAGACTATAGTATAAATACTATCATTTACTGTGTATTGTATGAAAGAGCTATTGTAATTGACAATGCTAGTAATTATTCATTTCGTAAGCTCGTGCAAGAAAGTCTTTGAAATAATTTCGTAGCTTTAAAGTAATTTACTGATCACTCAAGATAGACGGACAACTAGACTTACTATCGATGTAATTACGAAACAAGGAATCTAATTGAGTCCCTTACAAGGGTTTAGTATTTTTAATTAAAAATGAAAAATATGTAATAAATGTAGCACCGCCGGCTGCAGAATCCGATGACTTAAGCAACCAATGCTTGCAGAGTCCGGAATCTCCTCACCATGCGTGCGGTTTCTAAAATAACTGCCCTTTGAAGCCCCTAACCAAACTCTCTAGCGAGAGCTTCTTGAGATGTCGGTTGAAGCTCTTCTCTATTAGCCCAAGCACCGAAACGACTATCGGAGTAATAATAATTACTCTGATTGTTAAGACTTCTAGTACAACTGTTTCTTTTTATAATATAAGGTGGTGAACATGGCCACATGGTGGTGGTCGGTGGATTCAGCAACCTGAATCCATCGAAATGGAAAGCGACCACTGCCCTTAAACATCCGCAATCGCAGATGCGTTGCCTACCCTTAATTGAAGGAGGAGGAGACGCACATAAAGAGGACATCTCCCCTTTCTATGCATCTCTTAAAGTTTATTCTTTTAGTTTAAGAATGTTTTTAATAGTTAACTAAATAATTAATTATACATGTAATAGAAGGTTTAATGTAACCAATTAATCGCAGTGTAGGCCACTAGACCTTGCGCGCTTTTGTCTTTTACGCACCGTGACTTTTGACAGGATAGTAGAGCGTGGTATTTTGAAAGTGAACCTGTCTTGAACTCTGTTATTAATTTAGTGAACCATACTATACTGTTTTGTATAGTTTTAGTAACTGAATACCCGAAACAAATACGTCTATTGATAATTCTATGCAATTTTTGATTTGTTGAATTACAGATTTTGGTAAATTAAAAGATTGTTATAACTATTTAAAACTATAATAATATAACAGTAATGTTTTATAGTTTAGTTTAATTATACAAGAATTCTTACGTAACCTTTTGTAAGAATAAAGATTTTCACGTAAACAACTTATAACTTAAGTTATAATAAAAATAAAGCTATCATTACGTAGTATACGGATGTTTACTATCACAATTTAATTAAAGTTATTTTTTAAAAAGACTCGTTGTATCTCTATTTCATATAAACATGCAAATGCCTAAATCGTGTACTAATACTATTATTACTAATAATATTATACTATGCTTAAAAACAATGAGAAAGTTCTTCGCGAAATCAAATTATTCATTTATAACATTCATGAAACCTTGAAATTTCAAGCAACAATGATATCAGTTCATAATTGAGCGTATTCTCATATTATTTTATCTTTTCATCATAAAGTCACACAATGGTATACACCAAATATTATTAAAGCGCAGTGTTGAAATTACGTCAATGTTATAGTTACGACTGAAGGTCCTTCAAGAAGCGTACATTCCTTTTTCTTTAAGATCGACATCACATGCAGTTCCTCTGGTCTTATGTCTATTGGAGTCGATGGACACTTCGGACCGCGTCGGCACTGTTGTCTAAAAATATAACCTTTTAAAAGTAAACACTATTGTATATACTCAAAAAAGATGCTACTTACAATCAAAATTGACTTATTATCAGAATTTATTCCAGGAAATACAGCTGGCAAATTGTTAATTAAATGGCTTTATTAACCTATGCTGGTGTTAAGCTTGTCGAATCTTAATACGCATGTTTCTAAATCAATTATTAAATTATGACGGTAGTTTGATTTTAACTACATGCGTTACAAAGTGTTAAGTAATGTAAATACATGCAAAGTTTGCGTGTTACCGTTAATGTGCGGATGATGTTCGAATTCAATATGCACTGAACTTAACAGTCGAATCAATTATAATAACGATAATTGGCAAATTAATCGTACAATAAAAATTAATATAATTATCAATTTCTATAAGAACAGTGGGTACCTATTAACAGTAGAAACCAAAGAGTATGCTTACGTAGATGTGCTAGGATCACGTAAATCTCCAATCTGTTCTCTGCCTACCCCTTTGTGTTTCGGTTGTGAGTAAAGTTGTAAGTGGATAACTAGAAATACTTTCTTATCTTATTAAAGTTTCTTCTCATCCTGCCCTTATAAGAAATAGACATTTCGCCTAATAGTATTTTTATAAGTTTTTAAGCGTTTAAACCCTAAGCAAAAATCTAATAAATTCGCACAGTTTTATTTAACCTTCCATTAAATTTGCATATTCTATTTTACGAAACAGGTATTTTTATACAATAAATCGATTATATACGGTTATCTAAATTCGCGTGTTATTTAACTTCCCATAATAATCAGTGATTGTGTTGCGTTGTCCTTGTTGAAATGTAATCGTGCGCCCACATTCCGTTTAACTTAGGGTCTGTTACTTTTTTGTAAACTAAGTTAGAATTTATTTTATTGTATTCTAGTTCCTTTTCGGTGGCAGTTATTGATACTCTAATCTCTCTCTCATAGTCCGATTACACTTTATTCCAACGTGACGTCACAAATATATAGATGTCAATTAATTTGTCATTTGTTTAAAAACGAATAGCCTTGCGCAAGTTTGCCGATCACTTCCCAAATATTAACACAGTCCCATCCTTCGTCTGATTACGTGTGACGTCATGAGGACATCGGTTAAATTTTGTACACAAATTATTGTGTACAAAATTGAACCTGACCGAAACTGATGTAGCCCCACATTAGTGGGGCTACATCAGTTTCGGTAACGTACATAAATAATAGCATACAAATTAAATGTCAAGCGATGTGGTTAGTTAGAAAACTTATTTCAGCGTAATGTCGGATAGACGTGATTTATCTGTCAGCCGGAAGTGACATTTGAATTACTTTGGACTGTTCTCAGAAAAAGCTTAAAATAACGCGTACAAAATATGAATAGTCATCATTTAGTACATAAATTAACACTAATATTTACACGAAATGTATGCTTTTGCTGCTATATTTTACACCAAGACATAGATAAACGTGGACTACTACGTGGAACGTGAAACGATTTCTATTCACGTACAATAACAACAAACTTGAGTTCAATGACGTCACAACAGCGTGCTTAACTGTACAGTCTACAAAAAAACTATGTTGGGAAATAATACAACAAGTCTATAACGAATAGTTTAACTTTGTTGCTCGCTGTAGAAACAAGGGCGTAAGCGGGAAGGTAAGACGCATCGGGGCGGGTGAGATTTATAATTCACCCTAAATGTATTTGATGATTGCACGTTTCGATATTTTTAAAAGTTCAAGGTTATTTTTTTTATTTTACTTATTTCTTAACAATTACAATTACTATAAAAATATTTGATATATGCTTCTATTAAATCGAGACGCGCTATTTCGGAAAATCAGTGTTTTAATAATAAATAACATATTCATGATATTGATTGATTTATTACTAAATTTTATTTATTTCATACACAATATTAAAGAATGAATTGCACTTGTCCTTGACTTATAAAGTAACCTTGGTCGTGATAATTGTAAGAGGTCATTGCCATATTCTTTGTGACTATTAATTCGTCGGAGACAAAAGTTAAAGTGCACTTAAAAGTCACGCTAAATTTTATTTAAATTAATCTAGACCTCGTAAAAAATAAAAAGACTTGTTTCCGTTTAAATTAAAGCAAAACGATAATAATTTTACAGTAACTGATAAAAGCAAGGACGTTTTTTTAAAGACAGTCCCTTTCCTTTTTCCGTTCATAAAATAGATCAGGATTTAAAAAAAGTAAAGAAAATGTAAAGGTCAAAACCGTGAATTGACACTTGTATTGGCACAATTAATGATGTCTCTGTCTTCTGAAAGGGAAAATGAGGGATGATGATATTCTGAGTAGTGACCCACAATGTCATTTAAAGTAACATCCTTTAACAGTGTTATATTTCTTTAACAGGCACGTCATGGCGTCGAGGATACTGTTGCTAAGCGTGTGGGTTGCTGCCGCTAGTGGAGCGCTTGAAGTGGTTAACCAATGGAACCATCTTCAGTTCGACTTTCCCCCGGACCCAGTGCTGCTAGAGAAGTTCCAGCCTGAGAACACGGTGCCCACTGGCTTGGAGATAGGCTGGGACCGGCTCTATATCGGTATACCGAGGCTACGGGCTGGTGTGCCCGCTACTCTAGCCTGGGTACCCCGTAGCCTACCGCCCGGTGTTAGCCCTGTTTTACAGGTAAGCTGATGATTTATAGAATGTTGTGTAGAAAAATAAGAATGTAATTTTTTATTTAAACAATTGACGATTCGATTGCAAACAATCTACTTCGGCCGGATCTATTATCTGAAAATCCCGTATGAATTTAATGGAATTTTGCACTCTGATTTCGACCACACACATCGTTTTTTATAAAATAAAGATATGGATAAATAAAAATGTAAGTTAGAAAATAAGTTGTGACAGAAACTTGAACACAAGACAGAACTTGGACTGTCAGACCTTAACCGATTAAAATGTCGAATTGAGGTAAAATGGTTCCATAAACATAACTTCATTAAAATGAAACAGAATCATGCAAACAAAATGTTAATTACTGTCTATTATAAAACAATTTAACCAATGAAAGCGAGAAATGTACGTAAGTAGATCTTGTGTAACATATTTTTATAGATTAACTAACATCCACAAGGATATTGCCAAAAGCGGAATACTGACGAAATTAATGCCTTTAACTATGTGTCAAAATTCTAGTAACATGTCAAAGATACAGATCTAACTGTACAGCATTTCCACTTATATAAACATTTTATAAATACAATGTTAAAATTATACTGCGATTAAATTTTTACTCTGTAAAGTGTTGAGGAAAATTACAGAAATTGTTTTTTTTAGTTTTATTTGAATTAATTTAAGTTTAATTTGATATTTTATATATAATATAATTTGATTAAAACTCATATTGTGATTTTTAAAGAACGGGTCAAAAGATTTTTTTTACAAAAAATTAAAAACTTTAGAAGTATTGAAAATCTACCCTAGTACCTACTACTGCAACTACTGCTAATGAGGTTCTCTACCTTCACAAAGCTTTTTATGCATCCGTTTAGAATCATCCTGTATAGTTATATAGTCGGTAACAACAAAGTGGATTAGTGAAAGTGTCAAATAAATACGTTACGCAATATATATATTTAATTTGGTCCATTAGATAATCTAAAACAGCTATACATCATGTGACAGGTGTAATAAATTATATATTATGCAAATTAAAAGCGTTCTATAATAAAATATATATTATTTAATATAATATTGTTACGTTTAGACATATCACGGCAATAATATAATATATGTTATGTAATATATCAATCTTAAGTTACCTTAAAAACTAAGTCTTTTCAATATATTTGCGAAATAAAAATTTATAGTGTACAAATTAAATAGCATGATATAATCTTGTACCTCCTTTCTACATCATATAGATTTATCTTATATCCTTCTTTAAACAGATTATTTAGATAGCTGCATATTTGTCATGTTTGTGAAAATAGACTCTCAAATCCTCGTAACTTGACATGTACTAATTACTAAAATTACTTGTAACAAAATGCTATATGCTTCGAACATGATACTTATTAGTTCATGTAATCGATCACCTATCGCCTAGTTGTATCAATCAATTCTTTTATTGCTCTCATTAATATCAACACATTCTAGTTTTTTTTTTTGTAGGCAACTCAATCTTTTCTGGTTTACGTAGTCGTTTTTAACTGGCTGAATGTAATTTTAAATTTAATAACTATGTTTATACTTTCAAGGCAGCCACATACCATATTTTGCTCGTAAAAAATACTATTTAAAAACTGAAAACTGTCGCAATTTGAATTCATTGACTAGTAATATTGAAAAACGTAAGCAAAAAACAAATAAATTAACTGTTAATGTGGAAAACCAAAAATTCCATGCACATAAACCAGGAATTTGTTTATATTTGAATTTCTTAAATTTAATTTTTAACTTTCAACTATCTCTATAGATCATTACGACTATTGAAATAGTGTAAAAACCAGGACGAGTCGGTGACATGTAAATGTAGCTTGTGAATTAAAAAACGAAGTTTATTTGATATTTATGTGAGGTCCATATTGTGGTCTTTGGTAATGAAATTCGCAGTCACGAGAAAGCGTGAAGGGCGGCCACGATCCACGATATACGAACTAACGCCTGTAGCACACTATTCTATTCTATTCTATTTCTTGTTTATGGCTCTCCCACAGCGGATTGGGCCAGTGTCTGTAGCACACTGAGACACGAAAACAATTTTACTCCATGTTATAATCGTGTGGTTAATCTGTTAAGCTATCCGACGTAACGAACCGAATCCTTTCCACTTTCATACTTCGCTTCACTATTGTTGGCAATGTGCTCCGGCGTAAGAACAGTTGGCCTTGATGAGACGAACTCTGTGGCCGTTGACAGTTGAGAAGTGATATACTCGTATTTTGTAATAGTCACCTGGGTGTTACTTACGCACTTTATTTCACAACACTCTTGATGATATTAGCAAATCGCTAATTGTAACGGCTAAAAAAATAAATAACTAGTATAGTGTTGTAGTATCTGTAATACTTTTAACTTAGTTATTATAGAAGATAATTAAACTAATTTACGAATATTTCTTGATATCATTTCTGCTAAGCTAAAGTTTTGCGATGGAATATTGTTCATAACAAAAGTTTGAACGTAAGCCTCATTGTTTGGTAAACCGCCTTCTTAACCAAGAGGCCACTGGCGATTAAAAATGAAAATGTTGAATTTTCCGGTAAGCAACCGTTTTAAAAATATATGATGTTATGCAATTTAATAACAAATGGCTGTTTCGGTGACATTTATACAGTAGTTGTTTTCAAACCGGTTGCAGTTATTCATGGAACTAGTTATAAGTAAAGGGTTTGTTCTAATTTGTGTTCAAGACCACCGTGTTGTTGGCCAGTTAGAACGTAGTTTGATTTAAAAACAAACCATAAAATGTTAACTTCAAAATACGATGTTGTTTAGGAATTAGGTTACTCATGAAATGTGTCATAAAATATAATAATATAGCGATAAAATTAGGTACTAAACAATTGTTACCGGCAAAATCAAATTTGTGGTGTGTAAATAACCCCATTATTAGCGTTAAACTAAACCGGTCCAGTCTTATGTTGTGCGTTTCATAATGAATATAATGAGTATTACTAAGATTATAGTTAGTGAGTAGTAAGAAACCTCGCTACAAAGATAAGCTCCTTTGTCTTTAATGCAAAAAAGGAAATTTTATTCAAAAGAAACGATCAGATACACTTATTTGTACTTAAAAATAAACAAATGAATGCTAAGTGTACCTGAATTCACAAGACTTATAAATAATTAATTTAAATTCCTTCCACTGAGCCCTTTGTCCTCGAGACAGATCGACGGGTTCGACAAAAGACAACGCTTGAATAAGTAAATAAAACAACTACAGGAATTTTAATGTTGCCTTCGAAATAAAGCACAACAGATTAAGATAGAATAGATTTATATTCCAACAATGCGCGTACCTACACATCGGTTTACAAATGTATAGGTCAATAAGTATGTCAGAATGAATCGAAGCTTTAGACAAAACAATACTTTACAGTAAAACAGTGGTAGAGCCCGCTTTAATATCTTCGCATGAATGAGTCGGCTCGCCCGGTGTGGAAGTGTGTCTGATGAGGGTGGTGCCGGAGGCCCAATTTTAGTCCCTTTCCCGTTCCACCCTTTTCTTATAAGGAAATGATTGGATGGGAAAGTGGATTCGACGGTGGAGGAGACGCATAGAAAGGGGGTCCTCTTTATGTGCGTCTTCTCCTCCGTCGATTTAGGATAGGCAACGTATCTGCAATTGCGGATGTCTATGGGCAGCGATCGCTTCGCCATTTTGGTATTTTTTGGTGGCCGCTTGCTCGTTTGCCATCTTATTGTATAAAAAAACAAAGATTTTAAAGTGTATTACCTGAAAAGTATAATTATGCACTAATTACGTACTATGAAGTGTTAAATGTTCAAAGATGCGAAATCATCTAACAGTAACTAGGCTTTTATGTTGAAAAGTTTCCATGTATTACATATTGCATATCGAGAAGGTAATATGTCTCATAATTTGGTCAAGATTTTCTTAACAAAGTTTTCATTGTCAGGCCTATCCGGACTGGTCGTGGCACACTGCGGGGCGCGGTGACATCAACTGCACGGGTCTGGTGTCGGTATACCGCACCCGCGCAGACCGCTGCAACCGTCTCTGGGTCCTCGATTCCGGCGTCTTCACCAGTCTTGATGACTTCCGCCGCGTCTGTCCACCCAAGATACTTATCTTTGATATGGCTACTGATCGTCTGGTAAGTTATTATTTTAATTCTTCTGTACCTTTTTTGCCATTGTTTTGTTGTTCTTGATTTTAAAATCGTTCTGTCAAATGTAACTTTAGTAGTCACGCTTAAATATTGATTTTGATCGATACATATAGCGCTTTTCATTATGTGTTTTAAATATCGCTACGTTTTGTTTTGATATTGGTTAAGTAGAGATATGAATCGATCTCGCAATGACCTAAATTTGAATATAGTGGCATACTAGCAGTAGTGATAGTTACTAAACATAGCAACAGACATTTTTGAATCGCAAAATCAGTCTTGTTCTTATCAAGAAAATGCTAATTTTTGTTAAAATAACGTTGTATTTCAAAATTAAGTCAATCTGTCTACTCGTATCTTTATAGCATTGTGTAGACGTGGACGGGAATTATATTACGAAGGTAAAATAATTTCATTATAAGGTTAATATCATCTTCACTTGCAAAATATGTTTGCGAATATTACAGTTAAGTTTGTAGGTTAATTGCAAAACATGAGGTTAATTAACATCAAGTTGCCTGTTCAGGTTTAATGTTATTTCAAGTTGTTGCAAATTTACTTAATATAAAATAGTACTTAACATCAAGTTTAAAAATTTATTGATAAATACCAATTGTACCAAATGTATCCTTGAGTTTTTAAATATTTTTGATCAAAGTTTTCAATCTTTAGCTTTTCAAGTTTATATCCAAATCGAGTTAAATATATGGGAATTTCTAATCAAGATTGAATTATTGTGGAGCGAGACAAATTTATAAGCTTGCATTGTTTTCTTAATGCGTACCCGCCAGCGATTTGTCTCGACCTATGTCGGTCATGGTAATAAGAGGCAAGTTATGTTTAACTGCATTTTTACATGTTCAATGAAATTGTCAACGTGCGAAATACTCGTTCGGATCAAGGAACTTTCATTGAGATATGTGTGATTTAAAAAGAAATTAACTATTATTTGTAAATCAGTAATGTTTAAATACATACTAAACTACTATTAGTGAAATTAATGAAATTTAAAAATATAGAGAAAAGAAAAAATATAGCCTATGTTACTCACAGATAAATTATCTTTCTAACGGTGAAAAAAATTTTAAAATCTGCCCAGTAGTTTTTGAGCCTAGTCATTACAATCAAAGAAAGTTTTCCTCTTTGTAATATAGTATAGATTGCTGGAGATGGAAATCCGACAGAAATATTTTTTTTGACAGCGATACCCTTTTAAATTAGAGTCTAATGTTATTCGAATGTAATGCTAATTGCATAATGTTAGGCGGTAGTTTTTTTTTTAATTTCAGTTCAAGTTCAAATTCAGGGTCACCGCCTAGATTTGATCTAGCTTCCGTAACAGTTGTAGAATTCCTTTCATCGAATTAAAATACAATTAAACAATTTATGACCTTGTTATTTAGATCTAGGATATAAGATAAGCTGTTTAATGCAGATTATATTTATAGCGTTTTTGTAATACATTGACCTTGTAGGAAGGTGATAGTTTTCGACTTCGTTTTTTATATTTTATTGCAATAAACACAAACAAGTGCACAAGTCTTGTATTATAAGATATCGTTATCATTGTTTTTTGTATATAAAGAGAGGAATCGCAATGTGTTATATTGGAGTATTTAAATAAAGAATCTCTCTCCTAAATCTAATTTACATTTAAGAAAGAATTGATAATTATACGCATATGATAATTCTACCAGTTTTTTTTTAATTGATTTATCGTTGTCTTTCCAATGGATGTAGTTTAACTTTTCATATTTTCTTGTCTTTCTGACACAATTGTTTTGAATCTTTGACATATTTAAAATTTGGAATATGGTTTATGTGTAGCATGAGGCTGATTTTCTGTCACATTAGAGCTTCGATAGTCTTATCTTAATTTATTATTTTAAAAGATCTCTTACCTCATGTTAAAAGTGTATTTTGTAACACTTTCATTAGTCGAAGTAAATTCTCACGGTATTACTATATTTCTTGACAGTTGTTATTGATTATAACTATTAATTTGAAGGTTAAATATATAAATTGCTTACTTGTAACAAGAATCGCTGCAATATAAACTCGTGCAGCAATTTAAATCTGTCATTTGGATTAATGTAATGTATTTACATCACTAATGTTCTTATTTAAATTAAACTGTTCTCTGATATTCTTTCTATCTTTAATTAAACCGATAACGTATGATTTTGTAACATTTTTAATTATTATAATTTATATGAGTGAATATACTAAACCATTTTTGGACGGTGTGTTGTTGAATAATGTTGAAATCGTAAACATGTTTTTATTCAAGATTAAAAAACTTAAAAAGGTTAATAATCTTTACACAACTGAAGTTGATCAGAAATTATAAAAACAAATATTATGAGTAGAAATATTTTTGAACACTTTTATTGAAGTGACAGCGAAGGTTGTGAAGGTGACAGCGAATATGTAATTATTTTTTAATACTTTTAAATATAAACTTAATTTGTTGTACAAGTATAATATAAAAAGTGATTGTATAATTGACAAGACAAAAGGTAACCAATAAGACATACTAATGATCAATTTATAACGAACATTCGTTACTTGGGGCGATACAGTAAACGGTTGCGATAGAGTTTGTAATATTGATTCGATTATAGATAACTTTATACACAATTGTTAAGTTAAGCTGTCACGTTGCCTCATTGCTTGTAGATTTAGATTCAGATTATTCTTATTCTTTTTATTAGTTAAGTGTTTTGAATAGTATGATTTAACGTTGGTGTTATTTTTATACTGTTTTATAGGAATAGAATATATATACTACTCGCACTATTCTGTTTCGATTGAGAGCTTAAGTAATTCCTTACACGGTGTTCATATAACTTTTTATTAATATTGTGAGAATTGAGATATAAAGTTAAGATTATGTATGAAAAAATACAGCCAAAAAACAGTTTACCTAAAATCCTTGATATTAATAAGTTAGTATAGTTCGTTTATGATTTAGAGTTTTGATCGCCATTATTGTGCTAAAAGAATTAAAAGTATAAACAAGCTACTTTTTAAATATATTATGAGAAACATACGGACATTCACAATATTACCTGGCGCCTATCAAAAGTTTCCTTGGAACGGCACAAAATACCGTTTACTTTTTTTAACAAAAGTAATTCGCAAAATGGAAGGTTATCATTGTGTCAGAGGTCGCCTTATATCGTTGTGAGAATTGGGCTATCTGTATTGAATTAAGAAAAATATAATTCCACAATTAAAGGTATATATTTTTTTTTCTTGACAATCGTTTTATCTATGTGGATAGTGTGTTTGTTTTATTATCTATCGTTGCTTAACCATTGTTTAGATTGGAATGAAAACAAAAGTTTTAATTATATGAAACTTTTTGTTAGATTTCTTAAATATGTACAGTAAGATGTTAAAGCATATGTTGTCGATATCAAGATTTACTTTATAAATTAATGGTTAAGTTAAAGGCCTGCTGGGTACTCGGTTTCGTGGTTAAATTCCTTAACACTGGAATTAACAAAGCTTTAAGCTGTGTGAAGATGATAAATGGTATTATAAGCTATCAAAAACTTTATATAAGCTATGGCCTATTGTGCTAGAACCATGATAATATTTATTATGTAATGTCTATGTTCATTGAATTTCATCGTTGAGTTTTTACATTATCTTTACATATTTGGTAAGGCGCTTAGTAAGCAGCATAATTGTACATTTATTACTTCTAGTTCTGATACTAGTTTTTACACGCAGTCAAACTCATTCAATTGTAACATTAAAGGAAATATACAATCATAAACTTATCAAGCACGAGTAAATTATGTACTGCCAAATATCTTTTGTGTTTAAGTTATTGATTTTTGTATCACTTTCAAATAATTTATGTTAACAGTCTAATTGCGGAAATCTAACTAATATTATAAATGCGAAAGTTTAGATGGATGGACGTTTATTAGAGTTTGTAGTTTAAACGTCTGAACGGATCTTGATGAAATTTGGCATAGACATAGAGGACAGTCTGAAGGAACACATAGGCTACTCACTTTTAGTTTTTTTAATTACACGCGAACGGAGGTGCGGACAAATGCTAGTTGGTCATAATATGAAAAGTGTCTTTTTAACGAATGAGGTGACTGTCGCATGTGATATATATGTGCGGCAACCCTAATTCGAACTTGTTACTTTTAATTACCAGAAAAACATAAACAAATTATTGTGTATGTTAATAAGTTAATGACACCTCAATACCGCAAATATAAAGGAATAGACAAATTCGGAAATAAATATACATCGTATTTGTCACATAGGTAAGTATACTTTCGCAATATATGAGCGAGATTCCTTTAGTGTAGCAATCTCATATATTCCCTGATGCCTTGAGTCCGGAAGCTGATTAAACGAGTAAAGAAATTTATGCAAATTTACTGTCGTAAGAAACTAGTTGCGAAGTATTGGAATCGTTTATACTTAAGGAAAAAACGAGATTAATTTTGTCATTATTGTTCTTTTAAGAATATCAAAATAACATTTTATACTGTTTTCCCATTGATTATTAAAATCATTTTGAACTTTTCCTTGCAATTATTAAATAATTCGATTAAGTCATAAACAAGCGCTGTATTTATATTTTCTCTGGTTGGTAAATCGGAATGTAAAAAACAGTTGTTCCAGTCGTCGGTATTACCTTTACGGATAAGGAAAGACATTGGAATTCTTACTTTTTTAATCTGTTTCCGAGAGCTGCAAAAACTGAAGAAAGCTTTAATTAGTAATTATAAGACTGTTGTGAAGTTATTTAATGGACTGGTTACGCACATCTAAACACATGTACTGTCGCATTTTATGTAGCGCGGGAAAACAAGTTTGCTCTAGGCTGTTGGGGACGCTAACAGTAATGTTGTTATAAGTATACGGGATAGAAATCGCTTGCTAGTTGAAAGAAAATAAGTTGAAAGGAAAGAATTAACACACTACCAATTATAATAATATAACATCATATGTCTTGTAATAAATCAATAACAGAGAAGTAACATAGTTGAGTTGAACATGACACGTGCCACATGTTACGTCGGTAAGAAATATAAAGATAATAAT